CTCGCGAAAGTCGGCCTAAGTTATCGTTGTCGTGGACACCGCACAAACACCGCGACATGAAAGACAATGACGAAATTGTTTCTATGCTCAGGACTATGCAGCACAACGTACAAATTACACGCGCGACACAGCAAACATGTATGCGAGGACGAACAAGTATCGAACAAAAAGGACTACTTAAATCATTTACACTTACCCGTGATCGTTGACATCGTCGTGAATGTCCGGTGGGTCAGGTTGCGGCCGATAATTACTGTCATTTTCGGCACGAAGTGCCGAATCTCGATACGGTGTGTCGCTCTACGGTTCGAAAACCATTCCATTGCTCTTTCGGCGCAAACGCTCTTCAAGTCCGGGATCCATGGTGAGCAGTGGTCCAAAGCGCCGTGAAACAAAACATAGGCAGCTCGCGTTGAGTGCACAAACAGACGATCACCCGGCACGCCCAGCCGCGGTCAAGCGACTGATGGCTGGTGGCTCGGCTTTGGTTTTGACTTACCAGAAGAAGACGACACAACGTCAAGCACGCGTTCGGCAACGTCACATCGTGAAACAGGCTCCGTGAATGTGGAGCTTAGCCCCGAGCGCTCGAAGGAAGAGTTGAGGGTGAAAGACGGAGCAGAGGAGGAGGGTACCTTTTCAGTACACGTAGCTCCGTTAATATTGGGTGTTTCGATTGAATTATGGCGGCAAAGATTTGCTCCAGTAGTTGTCTAATTAAAAACAAAATGTAAAAAAACTGTTTCAGGGACCCTTTAAGCAGCGACTCGGGCCTTTTTGGAAAGAGCGAACTCGGGGTCAACAGCGCATCTCACCACTGAAGATTAGTCATGCAAGTCGAGGGGTATACCATCATTTTCCATGTTTGTATTTGTGACTTAGTGCATTGTGTAAAATTATGTTGCAATATATAAATAAACCCGCAAAGAGTGCTCCCCGAAATCATCGTGTCGACTTGTCATTGCTTGCCTGTGCGGAATTTGGCCCACACATCTTCGTCTGGATGGTAATTAGATGTGTCTAGCTTAAACAACCGCGAAGTTTCGTTACAAAATAATCATGTGAGTATGAAATTCATATACTCATATGAACTCAATTGAGCAGATCATATGCTCCTATGAGTCCATATGAGAATATGAGATTCACATATATTCATACATACGTTTGTCTGGTTTGATCATATGATTATGTCATCAATTCACTATAGGTATTTTGATCTGCTGCGCACTTATCCTAGTATAACTACATGACGTAATTATTCGCCAATATTATTTTATGATGGCCAAGTCAATTCGTTTTTTTGTCGTATACTTTTGTAATAAAATCATAATAATAAGGCCACGCACACGAACATTAATGACATAGTTGTAAACCTCTATTTCCGCAGGTTACTAACAATTTAGTAACGAACTAACCACTAGAGTCAGCACTATTCACTTACTAACTACTTAGCACTTTTAACTACCCAATGACGTAGCAATTTTACTCAGCCTGTTAGAATTTGGGCCAGTGTTGGTTACGAACCCTACGAGGTAGTGCCTTTCACTAGGGTTACATGTACAAGATGAATTTACTAGCTGGTTAGTGGATTCTGTGACACGTAACGGGCTAGAACTCAGTGAATATACCAACCCTTTTTCAAGAGTCTGTTCCTCGTCGAGTTCTAGGAAGGTTGTGTATCCTGCGCATCAGAGGACTTGTCGTCCAGTGCGTGAGAGCTTGAGCCTTTTGACCTGGCTGATGAGCTGTGCTTCGGCGCGGACAAAAAAGGCGCTCACTGGAATGCCATGCGCTCCGCTATCAGTCGCGCTGATCGCCGAAAATTCAGCTCAGCCAAAATATTTTGGCGGCCATTCTTGCAAATACGCGAAAAAAAAAGACACACGCACGCTGGAATCGCATGCGCTCTGCTTTTTTTTCCATAGTGTCCACCAAAAAACACTTTCCTTCAGATCCGCTACCACATTCTGGCGGTGATTCTTGCTGGTACGTAAAAAAAGACACGTGCACGCTGGAATCCGATGCGCTCTGCTGTCTGCATTGGTGCCCGCCGAAAAATACTTTCCTTCAGACCAGCCACAACATTCTGGCGGTGATTCTTGCTCGTACGCGAAAAAAAAAAACACGCGCACGGTGGAATGCGACGCGCTCTGCTGTCTGTCGTGCTGTCCGGCAAAAATACTGTTCTACAGTTCAGCAACAAGACTCGTTCTAGCGGTGATTCTTGTTCGTACGCAAAAAAAAAAACACACGCGCACGCTGGAATCCAATGCGCTCTGCTGTCTGCCGCGGTGTTCGCCGAAAATGGTTTTCCTTCAGATCAGCCAGAACAATGTGCCGTCATTCTCGCTCGTACGCGGGAAAAAAATAACACGCGCACGCTAGAATCCCATGCGCTCTGCTGTCAGTCGCAGTGTTCGCCAAAAAATACTTTCCTTCAGATAATTCTGGCCCCGATTCTTGCTCGTACACGAGAAAAAACACGCGCACGCTGGAATCTCATGCGCTCATGCTTTCTGCCATAGTATCTGCCAAAAAATACATTTCCTTCAGCTCAGCCACAAGATTCTGGTGGTGATTCTTGCTCGCACGCGAAAAAAAAAGACAAGCGCCCGCTGTAATCTGATGCACTCTGCTGTCTTCAGTGGTGTCCGCTGAAAATTAGTTTCCTTCAGATCAGCCACAACATTCTGGCGGTTATTCTTGCTCGTACATAGAAAAAACACGCGCACGGCGGAATGCGATGCACTCTGCATTCTGTCGCGTTACTCGCCAAAAATTACTATCCTTCAGTTCAGCCACAAGATTCTGGCGGTGATTTTTGCTAAGTACGTGAAAAAAACACTCGCACACTAGAATTCAATGCGCTCTGCTGTCTGCCGTAATGTTTGCCGAAAAATACTTTCTTTCACATCAGCCTTGCCGCAATTCTTGCTCGTACGCGTGGAAAAACACGCGAACGCTGGAATCCCATGCGCCCTGCTTCCTGCCCTGGTGTCCGCCAAAAAATACTGTCTTTCAGTTCAGCCACAAGTTTCTGGCGGTGATTCTTGCTCGTACGTGAAAAAAAAAACGCGCACGGTGGCATCCAAAGTGCTCTGCTGTCTACCGTGGTGTTCGCCGAAACATACTTTTCTTCAGATCAGCCAGAAGATTCTCGCCACGACTCTTGCTTCTACGCGGGAAAAAAACACGCGCACGCTGGAATCCCAAGCACTTTGCTTTCTGCCATGGTGTCCGCCAAAAATACTGTCGTTCAGTTCAGCCACAAGACTCTGGCAGTGACTCTTTCTCGTCCGAAAAAAAAAACACACGCGCACGCTCGAATCCGATGCGCTCTGCTGTCTGCCGTGGTGTTCGCCTAAAAATACTTTCCTTCAGATCAGCCAGAAGATTATGGCCGCAATTCTTGCTATTTAGAGGAAAAAAACACGCGCACGCTGGAATCCCTTGAGCTCTCCTTTCTGCCGTGGTTTTCTCCAAAAATACTTTCTTTCAGAGCTGCCACAACATTCTAGCAGTGATTCTTGCTCGTACGCGAAAAAAAACACGCGCACGGTGGAATGCGATGCGCACTGCTTTGTGTCGTGCTGTCCTGCAAAAATTACCGTCCTTCAATTCAGCCACAAGATTCTGGCGGTGATTCTTGCTCGTACGCAAAAAAAACGCAAGCCCACTATGGAATTCGATGCGGTGTGCTGTCTGCCGCGGTGTTCGCCGAGAAATACTTTTCTTCACACAAGCCTGGAGGCTACCCAAAATTCTAATACCCATGATGGCGGGCAACGCCTCTAGATCGCGCCGCGCCCGCGTTAATTCGGACCCTTTCACAATCCTTTAATGGAACTGCCGGGGATTTCGGGCTCGCACTAAGCGGGCTGCTCTCCTGCCCCAGTTAGAAACCCATCCCCAATTACCCGCGGTAGTGGCCCTACAGGAACCGGGTGAACACGCCGCCCTTACAAACTATACCGTGTATCAATGGGACGCGCAAATGGCACTTTGCGTGCATCGAAATTACACCGCCAGTTTGGTGGATCTCGAATGCAACCCGGCTTACTCGTATGCTATGGTGACTCTCCTCCCTCTTAGGAAGCAGGACCCATCCATACACATTCTTAACATCTACAGTTCGCCCAAACTGCCCAACATAACATACGCCGACATCTTTAGCAAAGCTCACACGGTGGCAGGCAAAGAACCACTAGTCATAGTAGGCGATTTCAATGCCCCCAGCCCTCACTGGGGTTATCGTCGCGAGGAACGACGTGGTCGGAAATTGGCGGAACTCATTTCCACCATGGGCCTAACCATCTTGACGGACCCCACACCCAACCCGCATTGGAAACTCTGTTACCCGAGACACATGTCCCGATCTCACACTCACCAAAAACATCAAACAAGCAGATTAGCTCAATACCGAGGAAACCCTCGGTAGTGACCCCTGCATTGTCATTACCACAATCCGGACACACCCCCTTACTCGTCCCCACCACCAAGCGAAACTTCCAGACTGGACCAAATTTCGCTTGGTATACTCCAATCCGACCCCCATAGCTCACCAAGGATACTACACTTGGTCCCAACGTCTCGTAAACTCACTCCACAAAATCGAGCAGACGGTTCAACTTTCAGAGACCACGCCGGCGGTGGACAACCACCTCATGCGTCTCTGGGAGGCTCGGCACAGCCTAGTGCGCCGATGGCGCCGACAGAAACACAACCGACAGCTCAAAATCCGCATAGCGGCTCTCACCCTAGAGGCCGACGAGTACGCGGCCCAGCTCACCGACTCAAACTGGGTAGAGCGCTGCAACACTGCCGCCACACAGATCTCAAGCCGCAACACCTGGTGTCTCTTTAGGGCTCTCATCGACCCTAGCCAAACACGCACAGAAACACAGAAACACATTCAGCGCGCGCTTCACGCCTATGCGGGTGACGCGGAAAAATTGGCACAGGCTCTCAGACACAAATATCTCTGAAGCCAACAGGACCCCATGGGACCGGCGTATTCATATGCAGGCACGGAAAACGCCGAGTTGGATCGTTGCTTTCAGCTCCACCATCTGAAGGCGGCCCTGTCCAAAATGAAACGAGGCACAGCGCCAGGTCGGCATCGAGTGACGGTTCGGCTCCTAGCCAACCTCCCTGACTCGGCGTACATTCACCTCCTCGACTACTTCAATCAGATCTGGGAGGGGCGCGAACCCCTACCGCTCGATTGGAAAACGGCCTTAGTAACTTTCATCCCTAAATCAGGCAAATCTGTAAACATCGACAATCTCAGACCAATTTCCCTAACCTCATGCGTAGGGAAACTTATGGAAGCCATGGTCCGGGACAGGCTCTCTGAATACTTAGAGGCCCGACACACATTTGCAGACACTATGTACGGCTTCCGCCCACATCGCTCTGCTCAGGACATCCTCCTGCAACTCCATCGTGACGTTGTCGAACCGGTCGAACATCCCAGTGACGACAAGGTAGTCCTCGCCTTAGATCTCAAGGGAGCTTTCGATAACGTTACCCATGACATCATCCTTACCAACCTATCACAATCAAACTGTGGGCATAATGCTTTTAGGTACGTCCGCCAATTCCTCATAGAACGGCAGACATACCTGCATATTCAAGACAAGGAGCATGGACCGTACCCCCTCGGTACGCGCGGAACACTACAGGGAGCAGTCCTCGCTCCTCTTCTGTTCAATCTTGCCATGGCTCACCTTCCCTCATTGCTAAACGATGTCCCAGGCGTGCAGCACGCTCTGTACGCCGACGACATCACGCTGTGGGCAACTCAGGGTTCCCTTGGTAGCATCGAGACATGTCTGCAACATGCCGCGTCGATTGTTGACAGCTACGCCCGCAGCTGCGGTCTCGAATGCTCACCCACCAAATCGGAATACGTGCATCTTCGCCCCAAACCGAACATGACACAAATTGAACTCACCTTGTGTAACAGGGCCATTCCGGAACGCAACGAAATCAGAGTCCTGGGACTCTTCATACACAAACACCGCAAAATTGACACCACTCTGCGCAAATTACGCACTGTGGGGGATCAGGTGGGCCGCATGATCCGCCGGGTTTCGAACAAGCGAGGAGGTTTCAAAAGCCGTGCTGCTCTGCGCCTCGCCAACGCTTTCGTGACCAGCCGGATCTTTTATTCGACACCTTACCTGCGTCTGCGTAAATGCGACGAGAATACACTAGACTGTATACTCCGCAAAATTTACAAACGTGCCCTAGACCTCCCCATCTCAACGTCGAACCAACGTCTCGCAGACCTGGGCATGACAAACACGTACGGGGAACTTAAAGAGGCTCATCTTAATAACCAGTACCTGCTCCTTAGTAGGTCTCAGGATGGAAACAACCTCCTACACCACCTCCACATTTCCAACACCCACAAGGTGGAAGAGCGTACCGCGATCCCCAAGGATTGGCGTGGTGCACTGATCATTCCGCCTCTGCCCCAAAACATGACAAATGGGACTCACGATGGGCGGCGTACAGCGCGGGCTACAGCCCTACAGCAACGGTATGGCTCACGCCCGGGAGTCTTCTACACGGACGCATCCGGCCCCCGCCACGGCGGGTGGTACACGGCCGCTGTGGTTCACCAAAGCGTACCTATTCAAGGGCTCACCTTTCGAGCACCAGACATCACACACGCGGAGGAGGTCGCCATAGCCCTCGCCGCAGCGGACCCCGCATCTCGGATAATTATTACCGATTCGCGGAGAGCGTGCCAAAATCTCACACGGGGTTGCATCAATGATCGCGCCGCCGAAATCCTTAAGCGATGCTATTGTCTAGATCGCCCAAATCCACGCACCGTCATCTGGACTCCTGCTGATACGGGGCTAGTTGGAAACGAAGCTGCAGATGCCTCGGCCCGCGCGCTTAATTACCGGGACCCGCCTCGCCCTCCATCGCCTGATGTTCCAGAACCCAATCCGGCTACCTCTTTCAGAGAAATCACCGCTATGTACAAATCGAACAGGCTCCGCTTCCCACCCCCAGCATCGGGCCTGCCCAAGAAGGACGAGCGCTGGCTTCTCCGTCTCTATACCAATACAGTATTGTGCCCGGCGATACTCAAACATTTCAATCCGGCATTCTCTGGGGAATGCCCGCACTGTGACCATCCGTTCGCGGATACTTTCCATGTGGTGTGGGCATGCCCCTCTAATCCGGCGGTCCCGCCACTTTCTTCTCCTTCCCTCCCTACCCGAGAGAGCTGGGAGGCTGCCCTGCTCGGTTGCTCGACCCTAGAGGACCAGCGTGCCCTAGTGGCCCGAGCGCGTGCTGCAGCGGAAGCCACAAGGGTCCCGGACTAGGGACTCCTCCTAGATTTTGTAAGGGGCCGGCCCTTAAAGCCATCCCCAACTCTCTCCTGTCAACTGAGTGAATAGAGTTTACTACCTACCTACCTGGCCGCAATTCTTGCTCGTTCACGGGAAAAAACACGCGCACGCAGGAATCCCATGCGCTCGGCTTTCTTTGTTGGTGTCCGCCAAAATATACGGTCCTTCAGTTCAGCCACAAGGTTCTGGCGGTGATTCTTGCTCGTTCGCGAATAAAAAAAGACGTGCACGCTGGAATTCCATGCGCTTTGCTTTCTGTCGTGGTGTCCGCCAAAAAATACTTTCCTTCAGATCAGCCAGAAGATTATGGCCGCATTTTTTGCTATTTGGAGGGAAAAAAAACACGCGCTCGCTGGAATTCCGTGAGCTCTCCTTTCTGCCATGGTGTTCTCCAATAAATACTTTCCTTCAGATCAGCCACAACATTCTAGTGGTTATTCTTGCTCGTACGCGAAAAAAAGGCGCACGGTGGAATGGGATGCGCACTGCTTTGTGTCAAGCTGTCCGCCAAAAGTTACCGTCCTTCAACTCAGCCACAAGATTCTGGCGGTGAGTCTTGGTCGTACGCAAAAAAAAAACACAAGCGCACACTGGGATTCGATGCGGTCTGCTGTCTGCCGCGGTGTTCGCCGAGAAATACTTTCCTTCACATAAGCCTGGCCGCAATTCTTGCTCATTCGCGGGAAAAAACACGCGCACGCTGGAATCCCATGCGCTCGGCTTTCTGCCTTGGTGTCCACCAAAAAATTCTGTCCTTCAGTTCAGCCACAAGGTTCTTGTGGTGATTCTCGCTCGTTCGCGAAAAAAAAACGTGCACGCTTGAATCGCATGCGTTCTGCTTTCTGCCGTGGTGTCCGCCAAAAAAAACTGTCCTTCTGTTCAGCCACAACATTCGCGCGGTGATTCTTGCTAAGTACGCAAAAAAAAAACACACGCGCACGTTGAAGTCCAAAGCACTCTGCTGTTTGCCGCGGTAATTGCCAAAAGATACTTTCCTTCAGATCAGCCAGAAGATTCTGACCGCAATTTTTGCAATTACGCGGGAAAAAAAAACACGCGCACGCTGGAACACCGCGCGGTCTCCTTTCTGCCATGGTGTTCTCCAAAAAATACTTTCCTTCAGATCAGCCACAAAATTCTGGCGGTGATTTTTGCTCGGACAAAAAAAAACTACGCGCATCGGGGAATGTGATGCGCTCTGCTTTCTGTCACGCTATCCGCCAAAAATACTGTCCTTCAGTTCAGCCACAAGATTCTAGCGGTGGTTCTTGCTCGTGTGCGAAAAAAAAAAACTCGCGCGAACGCTGGAATCAGATGCGCTCTGCTGTCTGCCGCAGTGTTCGCGAAAAATAATTTCTTTCACATCAGCCTGGCCACGATTCTGGTTCTTACGCAGCAAAAAAATACGCGCACGCTGGAATCCCATGCGCTCTGCTTTCTGCAATGGTGTCCGCCAAAAAATTCTATCCTTCAGTTAAGCCACAAGGTTTTGGCGGTGATTCTTGCTCGTTTGTGAAAAAAAAAGACACGTGCACGCTGCAATTGCATGCTCTCTATTTCCTGCCATGGTGTTCGCCAAAACATATTGTCCTTCTGTTCAGCCACAAGATTCTGGCGGCGATTCTTGCTCGTACATGAAAAAAAAACACGTGCACGGTGGAATCCGATGCGCTATGCTGTCTACCGCGGTGTTTGCCGGAAAATACTTTCCTTCAGATCAGCCACAAGATTCTGGCGGTGATTCTTGCTCGTACGCGAAAGAAAAAGACAAGTGCCCGCTGGACTCTGATACATTCTGCTGTGTTCTGTGGTGTTCGCCAAAAAATACTTTCCTTCAGATCAGCCAGAAGAATCTGGCCGCTTCTCTTGCTCGTATGCGGAGGAAAAACATGCGCACGCTGGAATCCCAAGCGCTCTACTTTTTGGCATGGTGTCCGCCAAAAAATACTGCCCTTCAGTTCAGCCACAAGACTCTGGCGGTGATTCTTGCTCGTCCGCGAAAAAAAAAACAACACATGCGCACGTTGGAATCCGATGCGCTCTGCTGTCTGCCGACGTGTTCACCGAAAAATACTTTCCTTCAGATCAGCAAGAAGATTCTGGCCGCGATTTTTTGCTATCACGCTTGAAAAAACACGCGCACGTGAATCCCTTGCATTCTCCTTTCTGCCATGGTGTTGTCTAAAAAATACTTTCCTTCAGAGCAGCCACAACATTCTGCCGGTGATTTTCGCACGCTCACAATGGAATGCGATGCGCTCAGCTTTCTGTCGTACTGTCCGCCAAAAAATACTGTCCTTCAGGTCATCCACAAGATTCTGGCGGTGATTCTTGCTAAGTACGCGAAAAAAAAAAAAGACACGCACACATTGAAATCCAATGCGCTCTGCTGTCTGCCGTGGTGTTCGCCGAAAAATACTTTCCTTCATTCCGATCAGCAGAACATTCTGGCCGCGATTCTTGCTCGTACGTGTGAAAAAGCACGCACACGCTGGGATCGCATGCGCTCTGCTTTCAGCCTTGGTGTCCGCCAAAAAAATACAGTCCTTCAGTTTAGCCAGAACACTCTGGCGGTGATTCTTGCTAGTCCGCGAAAACAAAAAACACACGCGCATGCTGAAATCCGATGCGCTCTGCTATCTGCCGCGGTGTCTTCCGAAAAGCACTTTCTTTGAGATCAGCCAGAAGACTCTAACCGCAATTTTTGCTATTACGCGGGAAGAAACACACGCACGCTGGAATCCCGTTTGCTCTGCTTTCTGCCAAGGTGTTCGGCAAAAATACTTTCCTTCTGAATAGCCACAACATTCTGTTGGTGATTCATGCTCGTATCCGAAAAAAAAACACGCGCACGGTGGAATGCGATGCGCTCTGCTTTCTGTCGTGCTGTCCGCCAAAATACTGTCTTTCAGTTTAGCCACAAGATACTGGTGGTGATTCTTGCTAAGTACGCGAAAGAAAAAAGACACGCGCACACTGGAATCCAATGGGCTCTGCTGTCTGCCGTGGTGTTTGCCAAAAAATACTTTTTTTCAGATCAGCCAGAACATAATTGCTGCGATGCTTGCACGTACACGTGAAAAAACACGAGCACGCTGGAATCCTATGCGCTCTGCTTTCTGCCATGATGCTCGCCGAAAAATACTTTCCTTCAGATCAGCCAGAACATTCTGGCGGTGATTCTTGCTCGCACGCGAAAAAAAAAGAAACGCGCCCGCTTGAATCCAAAGCGCTCTGCTGTCTGCCGTGGTGTCCGCCAAAAAAGACTGTGCTTCAGATCAGCGACAAGATTCTGGCGTGATTTTTTCTAAGTACGCGAAAAAAAGACACGCGCAAACTGGAGTCCAATGCGCTTTGCTGTTTACCACGGTGTTTGCCAAAAAATACTTTCCTTCAGATCAGCCAGATCATTCTGGACGCGATTCTTGCTCGTACACGGAAAAAAACATGCGCACAATGAAATCCTACGCGCTCTGCTTTCTGTCGTGCTATCCGCAAAAAACTACAGTCCTTAAGTTCAGCCACAAGATTCTCGCGGTGATTATTGCTCGTACGCGATAAAAAAAAAAAGACACGCGCACGCTGGAATTCAATGCGCTCTGCTGTCTGCAGCGGTGTTCGCCAAAAAATGCTTTCCTTTAGATCAGCCAGATCATTCTTGCCGCGATTCTTCCTCGTAAACGGAAAAAAACACGCGCACGCTGGAATCCTATGCACTCTGCTTTCTGCCATGGTTTCCGCCAAAAAATACAGTCTTTCAGTTCAGCCACAAGATTCTAGTGGTGATTCTAGCTCGTACGCGATAAAAAAAAAAGCCACGCGCACGCTGGAATTCAATGCGCTCTGCTGTTTGCCGTGGTGTCCACCAAAAAATACTGTCCTTCATTTCAGCGACAAGATTCTGGCAGCGATTCTTGCTCGTACGTGAAAAAAAAACACGCGCACAGTGGAATCCGATGCGCTCTGCTGTCTGCCGCGGTGTTCGCCAAAAAATACTTACCTTAAGATCAACGAGAAGATTCTGGCCGTGATTCTTGCTATTACGTGGGAAAAGAACACGCACACGCTGGAATCCCTTGCGCTCTGTTTTCTGCCATGGTGTCCGCCAAAAAATGCTGTCCTTCAGTTCAGCCACAAGATTCTGGCGGTGATTCTTGCTCGTACGAGGAAAAAGAACATGCGCACGCTGCAATCCCATGCGCTCTAATTTTCGCCATGGTTTCCGCTAAAAAATACTGTCCTTCAGTTCCCACAAGATTCTTGCGGTGATTCTTGCTCGTCCACAAAAAAAAACACACACACATGCGCGCGCGCGGGGATTCGATGCACTCTGCTGTCTATCGTGGTGTTCGCCGAAAATACTTTCCTTCAGATCAGCCAGAACATTCTGGCCGCGATTCTCGCTCTTACGCGGAAAAAAAAACACGCGCCCACTAGAATCTCATGCACTCTGCTGTAAGCCGTGGTGTTCGCCAAAAATACTTTCCTTCAGATCAGCCAGAATATTCTGACAGCGATTCTTGCTCGTACACGGAAAAAAACGCGCACGCTGGAATCCCTTGCGCTCTGCTTTCTGCCATGGCGTCCGCCAAAAAAATACAGCCATTCGGTTTAGCCACAAGATTCTGGCGGTGATTATTGCTCGTACGCGTTAAAAAAAAGACACGCGCACGCTGGAATCCAATGCGCTTTTCTGTCCGCCGCGGTGGTCCCCGAAAAATACTTTCCTTCAGATCAGCCAGAACATTCTGGCCGCGATTCTTGCTCGTACACGGGAAAAAAACACGCGCACGCTGGAATCCTATGCGAACTGATTTTCGCCATGGGTACCGCCAAAAAATACAGTCTTTCTGTTCAGCCACAAGATTCTGGCGGTGATTCTTGCTCGTATGCGATAAAAAAAAAGACACGTGGACGGTGGAATTCAATGCGCTCTACTGTCTGCCGTTGTGTCCGCCAAAAAATACTGTTTT